TCCCTCATCCCAATCCTTTGTGTGCTCAAATAATACGTTCTAATCATTGATTTCAAGGTTTGGTGAAATCGTTTAAGAGCACTTGGCTCTGAGGATGGTATGCACCAAGTTGTTCATGAAACACTTTCAAGGTAAAGTTGGTGCCCTGATCACTTTGAACGATTTTTGAGAAACCAAAATGTGTGAAAAACAGTATGAGAGCCTCTGCTACAGGTCTTGATTTTATGGAACACAACGGAATTGCCTCAGCATATCTGGTACAAGAACACATGATGGTAAGTATATATTTGTGACCTGATTTTGTTTTCGGTAGTGGTCCTACACAATCTACGATCACTTTACTGAACAGTTCAGGTACAGACTGCCTGAGGTTCGGCCAGCAAAAGTGCTTAAGTATACGGTCACAGGTTTTACCTACACCTAAATGTCCTGCCAAGGGTGCATCATGAGCTACACTCATACATGCGATATGGTTTTGGCACCACCACATGATGTATAATCTCCCAGTCATGATTAGCCGGGACATCTGATGGATGCCATTTACACATAAGTAAATCATCTTTGATGAAATAACACTCTGGTACCTTATGTGATTCCTCTTCACTAAGTGTCTTTTTACTTATGCGAATTAACTCAGGGTCCCTACCTTGTTCTAGAATTACATCCTCCCTATTTAGCAAGGGATCACTTGTAACATCAAACTGTGTCAGTGAGGGCTATAGCTGAGAAGCAAGAGAGGGCTCTGCCTCACAATGAAGATAATCAGACAAACTAGTCATGAATGAATCAGCTAAACCTACATCGGCCAAGATTCTATCAACTTCCTAGAAGCCTTATCTTTCCTTTCCATGGCTCTCTTAGTCATGCACGAAGGAAAAATATTGGGAAACTCTTCCTCATGTTTTTCTTTGTGATCTACACTACTTGGCCTATCAGTTACATATGGCTCAGCTACAACTTGTTCACCTGCAACATCGTTGCCTAAAAGAAGTGTAATACCTTCTAATCTTTGAGGTACATGTACAGTGTACATGTAATGTGGGGGTCACCCCTACAATCATTGGTCCTGTAACTAAGTCTGACATCAAATTAACTTGATGGAGAGGTACACTGAATACATCATTACCAACACCAGTAAGGAGCAAATTTGCTCCTATGGAAGTCTTCCCTGTCTAAGGCACTGCACCCTTTAGTACCAAGGACTGTGAAGCCCCTGTGTCCCTTAATATGACTACTGGATACTGGTGGTGAATTATCGCTATCATCAAGTGAAATGTAACCCTCACTAGTAAAGGGTAAAAAGTCCTCTCTTACTTCAGACAAGAAACCGTGGACTAAATCCTCATCGAGTTGTGAGCCCTATGGACCTAGAACAGAGGTGGTAAAAGCTACTGGCTAAGAAAAACTAGCCTGTGATTTCTTATAACTGAAACAGTTAGTTTTCACATGTCCTGTCTTTTTGCAATAAGAACAAATCAATTTGGACTTGTTAAAATCACCATGCTCCTGAATCCTCTGGTTTAGAATGGGTAATGGATTTCGAACTAGCATCTGTAGCACATAGTCGTCAGCCATAATGGCTGCCTGGTGTAGTTCCTTAACCTGCTGCTCTTCTAAATGAGCCCTAACATTGTCGGGAACACAACTTTTGAAATTCTCCAAAAGCATAACTTGCCTAAGTTTCATATAGTCCTAACCGACATTACATGAACTGAACCATTTATCAAACAAATTTCCAGAGTGTGCATGTCATGGGGCCAGTTAAGCCTATCTTCAACTTTTTCAAAGTGAGCAAACTATTTATCAATTTCCTTATCCCGAAATGGAGGAACCAATTTCATGTGCTTACTAGGATCAAAACTACTTGTCTGACGATGATTTCCAGATTATGATTGATTCTGCCTAAGTCTAGCTAATTCAACTTCAGCTTTCTGACGTTCTATCTGAATTTGTAACTCCAACTCCTTCAGTTTAATGGCAGTTGCTTTGGATTGACCAGCCTCTACCGCTGGTGATCGAACTTGCAAAATCTCTTCATCTACGAAAAACTCACCAGTATGCCCGGACCTATGGTCAGCTTTTTTCATGCTAGAGGTTACTGAAACTTTATAGTACTTGGCAACATCAAACAACTCGGACTTTTTTAAGGAGTTTGGTCTATGTAGGAGTGGTTTCAAATTCCTTAACAAACTCATCAACATCAAATTTAGCCGTCTTGTTAATTGCTGGTTTACCAACGACACAAAAAGTCGAAACAGGAAAATATGACTGGTGGGCGAGGACTGCTGTGAGGTGTGGTCCACGTCTAACATGGGGAACTGGACTGACCGCCGGTCTCGAGGGCAACGCAATGCTACTTAGCTCCACAGTACAGTGGGTATGGTCAACAGAGAACCCGGCGGGGGAGTATCTACCCAATTTATAGTGTCCTAGCATATTCCCTGTTCACTCATTATGCAAAGAGTCTAATAAAAGAAGTATTTTACAGGGCTTGACCTAGGAAGATTACAATGGCAGCCCAGGAGGATTAAGGTTCAGGCTCCAGAGGGTCAAGCTAATAATCCCCGCCAGTTGGCCTGACCCAGAAATTCTGGAATTCAAATCCTGACTGTAACAATATACATGTACACAAGTCTGAAATGTGCGCATGCACTATGCATGCATAATTTCCAGTAAAGAAGGGCTGTCACAAGCATGCTACACGTGGAGGCTGTGCCTGGTACCAGGCTGACATGCCTGCCAGACTTGGCAGTATCAAATATCCAGTTTCCTTTTTTGTCATTTTTTGCAGGGTACTGAGGTCTTATTATTGGAATAAGGAGCATGATGGTCCTTTATGAAGTGTTTAATTTGTTTGTAGCATTCTAATACACAATGTTGTAGCCTAGATGTGCGATTTTCATTAAATGAGCATAAAAATGAGGAATCAAAAGAGGAATTGCAATGCGGGCTTGATGACTGTGAAGACAGGTGAGCGATTCTTCATACATTGGCAATACACTGCAGAAGCAGTGGCTACAAACATGGTAACAGTCACACACAAATTGTTTTGTTGATTAGCCTTTCACTTTAGCTTGCAACCAAAAAACTGCACACTATACAGTAAGTCAGGCTTATTTTGTAATTGGCTGTGACAAGTTAAATTTTAGACAACAGCTGACAGATAGACTTCCAGTCGACTTTTTAAAGAAATCGCCAGGTGAGTGGGCCTAATTCAAGATGGAAGTAAGAAAAATAATATGCTCTACTCTCATGGAACTTGCTTGATGCCGACATTTTAAACTGTTAGCCTCATATGTTCTTGCGTTAAGTTATCCCACATCAAGCAGCTGAAGACTTGTGTATTAGTTTTTGAGTCCCCTATCATTAGAGCCCTTGTTTTATTGTCAACCTTTTAGAAGAAATGTTGCTAAAGATCTATGTTTGTGGGCTAGGCTCATGATATAGGGAAATTCATCAGTAACACTCTTCCTGTGGATTAGACTGTAAAGCGTATATTTTTCATTTTCCTCATGTGCTCTTCAAAATATCAAGTTGATGCTCACCAATTCAAAAGAGCAAACATTCACGATCCCCAGAAGGTGTGAATGATACATTCGCGCTTGTAACATATCACATGATCAGTTTGTGACCAATAAAAGTTCACTATCTACATGTATGACCCTGGTATAGAGGTTCTGCATGGCAGCCATTTTTCCTGTGAGAATCCTCCGTGACAATAGCAGTTACCAGAAAGATGGTGCCATGCATAACCTCTATAACAATCAGTCATGGTGTATGTTTACAAATACACATGTAAACACCCAGCTTGGCAGCATATAGTGCAATACATGTACATGTAGGTGGACTGATGCATGCTGTGAGTGCTGCATGATCATTTGTGGATACATGTATGACCAAGATTCTAGCTCTGTTTCCATTGTTGCCAAATGTAGGATTTGTACAAAGTTTGACCAAATTATGTTGTACAGGTACATTTAGCTGAAACTTTGACTTTCAGCTGAAAGTGTGTGGTCATACATGTACATGTATAATGCTACTTTTAACTGATCTGGTACTGTTCGAAACGTCGAGTTATTCCCCGGTTCTTCTCAGAACCACACATACTCAAAGAAGAGATAAATACATGGTGTTACCACAATCTTTACTATAAATCTTGATCTGGTACTGGTTAAAAAAGCAACTGTTACTAGCAGTAATTGATTTGTTTTCTTGAAATGCATTGTGTTGTTGGCTTAGAAAGGATTCTGTGGACTTATTAAATCAAGGTACAGTTGAACATGTAAATTACTCAAGAGTTACTTAATTCCCCTATCATTAACACAAAAGAATATGCTCATTCACCTCGGGATTCAGAACTAGGAAAACAACTGTAATATTACTGAAGTGGACGCACTCAGTAGTAATTGTTGTTTTCTCAGTTGGAGAATGTTCCTACTTACGTGACCACCAAAACATTTTGCTGAAAATCTCCAAGTTCTCTCACAGTCGAACAAGCTTTTTGTTACCTTTAAAAACAAGTTTTACACTTACACTTCATGTCTTGTATGAGGTAAGCAATAATGGAACTTAACTGAACACAATTACATGTAGTTAGCATGTTTTTCATTTCCAATTGATTTGGCGTAACATGGGCCACCTGAAATGATTGCCTTAGTTACACAGTAAATTGTAGTGCAAGTCACAGATTGACGCAGTGCATAACTTTTTTTTGAATATTTCATAATTCATTGTGCAACTTACGCAATAAAATGTAACATACCAGTAAATGGATTTACACCATTGCATAATATTTTTTTACTTTGGCTGCTGTACATGTACTTCTTCAGGGAAAAGATCGATGAGCAAACAGATGAACAGGAGTCAAGCATGCATACCTTTGCACATATACATGTACAGTATGGAATGTTGCAAATATTATTCAAGAGTGTGGGTCACTGAATTTTGCTTGGGTTCTGTTTCTGTTGCATCATTAATAACTTTAATAACCATTGATTGTTCTAGACTCGGACTGAACCGAAGCCATTGTGTTTATCATAGTGGAGCCATGTTACTGCAACAGTGATCTGCACATCTAGACAATTGTTCATGGAAACCCTGAACTGATGAATAAGTACGAAGTTCTCGGCATTGTGGGCGAAGGTAATGTGCTAGTTGCATTTTCATTTCTTTGTTTATTAAAGGATCTAAAATGTGGAGGGAATGATATTTGTTACAAATGAGAGTGGTTACATGTACATGCATTTATGTGGCAACACCAAACGCCAGTCTGTCACTGCTCCAGACTAGATTACTTAGAAAAGGAATAATAAGGTAACTCCGGATTTTAGGACACTTCAAGAGACAAAGCAGTAGACATAAAAGATGCACTTCTAAACCTCGTTGACTACATTATATTAAATACTCCAAAAAGTTTTCACAGATATGCAGCATATAATTTACAATTCAATCTCCTTTCCTTTAGAACTTAGATTGTCTTCCAGTTTTGGTGATATTTACACGTTACGTCCATTCAAGTTAAATATTTCTCAAATTTGCAAAACAGTGCTAACTTCATTGATCTCCCTTCAACACTTTTGTTTGTTTACATATGATAATTTTAACTTCACTGGTTTTCCGCTAGCAATCTTGTCTGTTTATACAGCTGGCCTCAAAGTCATGTCTGTTTAAAAAAGAATCAATTATGGTTACAACTGGCTGAAGCCACACGATGCGGACAAGATAGTGGTATACCATGCTTCCAATAAGAGAGACTATGTTTGGGCTAGTACCTCACTGAAAAATCCTCTCCATGCTGTCAGGGTAGACTTCTCTGAAGTTGGTATTTGGGTTGGCAAACCACCCTGTGTGACAAGGCCATACATTATTTCTAATAATCTGTGGCTTCCAAAACATCTCTTAGTGCTCTGCACACCTAACATCTGAAATCCTTGATCAAAACATCACAATAACTTAAACATTCTCAATGCAAATTGCTGACTTCTCTTTGATCAAAATCAATATCTGTCATTTTAAGATTTGATTCCTAACATCCATTTGAAGACTCAAGTTCACTGTCTAAAAGGTCTCAATCTCATATTTTTGGGCCTCTTGGCTATTTTAAAACCATACGAATGCACAACAATTTTTAACCATTAAGCCATCATCTCAAACTTAAATTCATCATTCTTCTAGATCCTATGATAATGTTATATAAAATATTTCAATGTGACTTCATACAACTCAGCATTTTTCTTTATGGTAATGTTGTGGTTAGGACTTACGAAGACAGGAGGTGGACTGTTGTCACAAATGTCAAGATGACCATGATAAATGTCATGTATTTGGCCTTAACCACTTGCTGGGGAGCCCGCTTTCGGAGATGTTGACTTTATACACATTGCCAGGGTTCCCGAAATCAGACAGAAGAGCTGGGCCTTGTAATTAAAGACCGTGCTCGGAACAAAAGACCGAACTACTGGGAATTTCCAACATTTTTCCAGTTTTCAACAACCAAATTCCAGCTAGTGTCACTGGACAAGCAGATCAACAACTCTCGGCAGACTCTTCAAGATGCGATCCAGCCAAGAGATTTCTCCAAGATTCAAGCCCTTTACCCAGTCATCCAGCCTCCATGCCTACTAGACTACCTGCCACAAGCAGATCGAGAAATTCGCCAAGCTGTGCCCCAAACACCTTGTTTGGAATAGGCGATCCCCTATATCTTCTTTTCCACCTCAACAAGGCCAGGCCCAGCACCTTCGATCCCAGCAAGCATTCATCAAGCAGACAGTAGTGAACCTGAGCCAGCGACAACTCACAGCATCGGAAACCAAGGTCCTGTCCTTGGGCATGAACTTTGCTGTCCCACCGAAAGCCATTCCAGTTGAGGACATCATCCAATCTACAGAACCAGCGCTACAACACCTGAGCAAGGCAGCAGCAGAGGACATCCGCATCCAGATCCATCAAGCAAGACAAGCCCCTCAAGACCAACCTCTCAAGACAAGAATTCACACATTTACCACCCCCTGCCGAAAGACCCCACTCTGTCTGTTGAACGTCTGTTGAAGCAAGTTGTCACTCCAACACTCCGATGCCATCCCCTACCAGCTGTACAGACAGCTCAGACTGTTCAGCTCCACTTGCCCCAGGTTCCTTGGTCAGCTGAAGATACACAAACCAGGCACCCCACTCTGTCCCATTGTTGCCCCAAGAGGAGGTCCCACCTACAACACTGCTGAGCACCTTACCACACTTCTCCAACCCTTGGTGGGTAAATCCCTCATGCGTCCAACTCTGATCAATTTGTTCAGATGATCAAGCAACTACAACTTAGACTGCTGACACCATGGTCAGCTTTGATGTTGTTTGCCTCTTCACTAATGTCCCCACAGACCAGGCCTGCCTCATTGCCAAAGAACATCCACAGCAAGACCCCACTCTCTGTGTGCACACAGCCCTATCTCCGGACCAAATTTGTGACCTATTGTTAACCTGAGTCTCGTCAGCCAGCTTCAGATGGAAGGACAAGTTCTTCCAACAGTCATCGGGGACCGTCATGGCATCTCCTCTATCCCCAGTCCTGGCTGACATGTTCGTGGAAGTATTTGAGAGTACTGCACTCGACACAGCAGATTACCGCCCAAGCACCTGGCTACGCTATGTGGATGACACCTTCATCATTTGGTCACATGGCCTCTAGCACCTGTAAGTGTTCCTGGATCACCTCAGTGACCTGCATCCCAACATCAAGTTCACCATGGAACAGAAGGAGAGGAAATCCATGCCTTTCCTGGATGTCAAGGTCTGACGCCACTCACATACATGTAGTTCCCTGGGGCATGTCGTCTACTGCAAGCTGACCCACACAGACCGGTACCTGCACAATGCATCGTTCCACCATCCCAGCATCAAGTCATCAGTCAACCGTGCCCTGGTGCAGCGAGCCTACAAGATCTGTGACCAAGAATACATCCAAGAAAAACTCAAGCACATCTCAAGAGCCCTCAAGTGCAACAGGTACCGCCAAGACCAAGAACCCAAGGTTACCGACTGTCGGGTCTCCTATACCCAGTGTTGGAGGTCTCGAGACCTTTTTTTGAGGTCTCGGTCTTGGTCTCGGCCTACAAGAGTCTCGGTCTCGGGAGGGTTGGTCTCGGTCTCGGTC